CTTTAACTGACGTTTTGCATGCAGTTACTAAAACATTAAATTGGCTTTTATCGGTCAGAACGGTGTTCCGAAAACTCTCGATTTCACGTTTACACACGGCGTGAAATATGCCACAGCTGCTTAGCGCTATGACTGTTACATCAAGAGAACTTTTTTACTGTGGATTTGATGAATGATATACTACACAAAATATATATAGTGTCTCAATCCCTAATTTTGGTAATCGCATTATAAGTAAATAGTTTTCGAATACAGATAATATAAGAATAACTTGGAGCTCTTATTCATCAAACGCGTCACTTTGAAGATGAACTCGAGTAAAAAACAAGTTTTCCAGGAGACGAGAAAAAAGATTAATTAAAAAAATAAAGTTTTACTCAGTTTATTTTCAGCCATTGAACCGCATCATTAATAAATCTGTTTAATCCCTCCAAGCTAGCAAGTTACAATGTGTTAGGTTTAACACATTTACATAAAGCTACATCATCCGACACTGCTTTTCTGTATCAAGCATGAAGTGGATTTACCCAAACAAATAAAGTGGTTTGTATAGTTTTAGGGGTGATATTATTTATTTTAAAGCTCAGATTTCACCTCAAAAGTCATTAATATTTCTTTTCTACAATTAGGAAAGCTAGGCAGGGAAGTCAGCATCTAGAGACCAATTAATAAATAATGACGCCAAGCCTCATCACATACATAATATATAGTCGCGCCAAATGTCCCTGGTGACAGAAGGGTCAGTAGATGGTTGCGATTCTAGCTGATTAAAAACATGTGACTTCGCTTCAAAGGGTTCGTGAGTTGGCTTTATGAAAGGATGTTCTAGCAGCAATTCTGTAAACACAATTCATCACACAATAAGTGCTAATGAACGACGCCAGAGAACTACGTAAAAATAAAAAGACTTACGATGAAACTACTCCTTTAAGAGGCATTTGGTAGGAAATTTATTTTCTTTCTTAGAATCTATAATAACGTGTGTACTATTCCAAATAATGTAGGTGTTTGTTACATTTAGCAATTCGCACTTAAAACAATTTACCTACGTTCTGTAACATCTCTCTTCTTTTACAGTTATCATTTATCCTTCTTTCTTGGCTTTTACTGTTTCTCATTTCTTATTTTAAGAACGAAAGGTGGTTTGAACAGATTTTTTTTCTTTAATTCCAAGAGCGAAATAAAAAGTTTCAGTGATCGAAATGTGTTGGAATGTATGATGTCACGTATCTTAGTTGAAGTTCATGATGTCAGGTAATGGATATTCAATAAAAACGATAAGCGGCTGATGACTGCTGCACCCAAATAACCAGACCGTACTTTAATCATTTAGTTCATCGTGCAGTAAATCCAATCATAATGCCTTTTAATTGTTGGGTCTGATTATCTATAATTTTTTCATAGCACAGATAAAATGACCAAGAGTCTTAAATATATTAGGGTTGACGTTTTGAGGCATAATACTGTAAAACTTTCAGACTTCAGACTTTTGAAGTGCTGTACAGATGCGTGAAAAATAAAAGTAGCTGAACTATATGTGGTAATCTACTAAGTCTACCATGACAGACTGGGCGAAATATATTGTAATGGATTTTGATCATTATTCCATTTAAAGCGTTTTAATAAATTATTATTCTCTTAACAGATGGAACTTATTCCAACGTAATGAGCTAAACGTTACACAAAACATTTTACATGTTAAGTTATTATTCTCTTATCAGATGGAACTTATTCTAACGTAATGAGCTAAACATTACACAAAACATTTTACATGTTAAGTTATTATTCTCTTATCAAATAAAACTTATTCTAACGTAATAAGCTAAACGTTACACAAAGTTTTGATTTTGTTGTAGATAAATTCCTTTTATTACGTAATATTTAATTACCGTTTAAGTAAATGTATATTTCTCGACCAATAAGTAGTAGGAAGAGAATTTTATGTGATAAGTTTTGTATGGGTACAATTACCAGAAACGTTTGCTTTCGTGTGTGTGTGTGTGCCATCTTTATCTATCAGAAAAGTTTGGCGTACGAAATGCCTGATCGATCATGACTATATTGATACATGTATGATCATGACAGTATTGATGTAGGCCTGATTTTATTAATTCTCCTGAAGTTTTTATGCAGATCGTATAATGAAGAGATATAAACAAGATCGTGACGATTCACAAATTCCAAAAGTTTTATTTTGAATGTACGAACACCCTATTCTTAAGCTCCGTCTCCGAATTCACCCATACAGCCAATTATAAAACTTAAAGAAATAATAATTAGCCAAAGAACGAACATTCAAAATATAGTTTATAATTCCTAAAAGAAACAGATAACAAACTCTATTTTGTAGCAGTTGTTTTAATATAAATTTTGCTGGATGCTAACATGTAATAATAACAGTAAAGTGGAACACGTTCAAATCCACGTTGGGTGCTGTCAAAAAGTTCACATTTTAAAGTTTAATATTTCTCTGTTTTACTTCCTCTGCTTGAAACCAACCCTGCGATGTCCTGATGATATCATATATCCTAGTGTTATTTCATACATGGATAAAATCGTTCCTATTTAATATTTATGATCTTTTTCCGGAGTCTTCTTTGTGTGCTCAGATGAACACATTTGAGTAGGTACCTCGTTGTCAGTTTTATATCAGTGGGCACTTCGCTCTTTCACCGATAACTGCATTTAAAGCCGACTTGAAAAGTAGGATTGGCTGTCATGACGCGACATACAATTGACTGACAGATACTGAGACTTAAAAACCCATTATATCTAATACCTTAAAAAAGCTTCTGCCTATAATACTTCGATCTTGTGTCTTCACACTTGAAATATGACTTGACAATCACGCCGCCTAGCGGAAGTTGAAGGATTTCGATACGAATTCTAATCTCTTACATCCTGATCATTGGCTAAGAGATTTCGAGATTTGGACAATTGAAGAAAAATAAACCTACAAAAGGATTTTATAAAATAGTAGAAGCTCATAATTACTGAATAATGTATCGTAGAAGATGTTTATAGCCTTATATATCACACTAGACTATAGTGAGTTATTATGGAATTACTAGAAAAGTAACACATATGGTAACTGTACAGGTATTAGATACTAAACCCACATCAAGTTACCCCTCTTAAATATTTGTCGTTTAGCTATTACTAGAAAATCAACACATATGGTAACGGTACAGCTATTAGATACTAAACCCACATCAAGTTACCCCTCTTAAATATTTGTCGTTTAGCTATTACTAGAAAATCAACACATATGGTAACGGTACAGCTATTAGATACTAAACCCACATCAAGTTACCCCTCTTAAATATTTGTCGTTTAGCTATTACTAGAAAAGCAACACATATGGTAACTGTACAGGTATTAGATACTAAACCCACATCAAGTTAACCCTCTTAAATATTTGTCGTTTAGCTATTATGAAATGTTACAATAAGAAGAAATAGTTTGAAAATTAAAAAAAAATATGAAAATGATTTCCTCTCCAAACACTCGAATTCGATGTAGAATTAAAAAACCCCTTTAAAAGGGGATTTTTTGTCATACAACGAGAGTCACAAGATCACATGACCAAAGCTGAAATTTCTTAAAGGCGCCAAAATATTCTTAAATTTTCCATTTTCCAAAAATTACATCAGTTGAAGGATTCGTATAGTTTTATATTTAGTATAATATAGTTTTAAACTCACTTAAATATTAATGGAAATACTAATACACAAAATACATAATTTCTGTTCTAGTTGTGTTGGAGATATATAGTGATATTTAGAGAAGAGAAACACTTAAGCAATAGCTTCCACAAATCCAAAATATAACAATAATAATAAATAAATGAGTTACTTTTATGCAAAGTGGGATTAGAAGTATAACTTAAAATGTTAAATTTAAAACAAAACTTTATCTATTTACGCACTCGGAAGTAATTAGTGCGAAGTCCTTACGAGACAAAATTTATTGCATATTGCCTTCTTTCAAGATTAAGAGCTAAACTTTACACACAGATTAAAAGAATAGTATACCTATACGTAGTGATATAATTATGGTAAAAAAAATCATTCCGTGTTCAGACTTACACTAGATCTGACTTACGCAATAATCACCGTTACCTACACCACATAAAGATAAACCCCAAGTTATTCTATATGCACGAGCTTCTCGTATAGATCCTGAAACATTGGGAAAGAGAGCAACCTTTTTGTGGATCAGGTTCTAATCTTGAATTAAGATAAATAATAATTAAAACAGCATAAGTGACTCAGCGTAATTATATTTAGGCAATGAATACGCGGAGACATGAAACGGTTGTATGAAATTCTGCTAAGAAATATGTTGAATATTTAATCATCTTTCCCCATGATCATCGTCATTCAATGGGTTCGTGTGATACAACATGCATATTCGTAACGGTTAATATTACGAATACGTAAAATCTAGTTATGTAGAGGTAGATGTTGCTCTTCGCGTTTTCAGACAAGCATTGCTTTATAACGTACTTTTCCTGTCTAATTCCCTCAAGGGAGGGACAATACATCATCATATAACATTCCAATGTTAATATGGTTATTTATTTTCTTAAGATGTATGTCGATTATTTTTATTGGAGTTTCTGCAATCATGTTTAAAACAAACATTTAATCAAAGACGTTTCTTATTGCTTGTTTTTTTTCTGTTAACATTTTTAGTGAATACGTGTGTGTTAAATTTTGCTAAGTTTCCATAGATTCGAGAAAATTGTTATAATCTTAAACTTTTTACAAGTGTGTTTGTGTTTCTATGTGTGGCAGATTTTACTCCACACCTCTCAGTGATACCTATTCTTCCTTGACTTTCTTTCTTTTTTGCCTGACAACTCAATCACATCAGAGAAAGTAATTATATAAGGATGTAAAAGACAAAAATCCTGTGGTCTCAAAGAAGGAATAACGGAAAGTAATTCTGATCTGCAATATGTAGCTAAGTTTGTTTTTTTATTCTATTTCTAACAGGTTTGGTTCAAAAACCGCAGAGCAAAATGGCGGAAACGCGAACGGAACGCTGGAGCTGAATTGAAAAATGGATTCGGCACCCAATTTAATGGGCTGATGCAGCCTTTTGACGACGGCCTTTATTCTGGATATTCCTCGTACAACAACTGGGCATCTAAAGTCCCAAGCCCTCTGGGGGCAAAGAGTTTTCCTTGGCCAGGTTTCAACTCAGTGAATGTGAATCCACTAACCTCAGTAGTTCCTAACCAAGGAATGGGCTGTTTCAATACAGCCTCCACAGGAATCACATCTTCCAGTATCGTACCAAACGTCAATATGCCTGTTAACAGCCTGAATAATCCGATGACCCCTTGCCCCTACGCTACAGCTACGCCTCCTTACGTCTACCGTGATCAGTGCCCCTCCATGTCTTCAAGCATTGCGTCCCTTCGACTAAAAGCCAAGCAGCACACCGCTACTGGGTTCGGCACCTACGCACCCATGTCACCGCGACAAACACCGACCCTGTCCCCATGTCAATATGCCACCGTGGACAGGCCAACAGTCTAAGTCGCACGACTTCAGTAGACCATAGTTGTTCCATTTTAGTCGCAGTGTGTATGGGCAGAAAATACTGAATCAAGTAGAGCAGGAGACTTCTGATTTTCTTATTAACATACTTATTCTAAATCAACCTCAACAACCAGAACGTTACAGACTACTTAACCATCCTAACGTCAAAAAAGACTAGTGACTCTGTGGAAATGTTAAAAATTAAAATCAAAAATGTGTTAACCCTTTATCTGAACATGAATTCTAATATCAAGTCTGATAAAACGACCTAAAGTTCCTTGTTTTCAGCACAAACTAGTGTTGTTTCTAAGAGGACGTACTTCGATAAGAGCAGAAGTCATCTGTTTTTGAAAAGATGACATCATTGTCTATCTGCTTCAACTGATAAAATCACTGGTTGGAATAAAGAGGAAGTAAATTAGTAGTATTAGTAGTAGTTCAATTCCAGGTTGGTGAGGTTTTGAATCTTATGTAATCCCTCTGGTGGGAGATTTTGTGGGTAAATGTCTTTTCTGTAGTCTATCTTACTGTTGTTGATCTATTGTGTAAAGTATTTAGCATTAAGCATAACTACTTCTAAAAATCTGGTCTGGAAAAGCAAAATAAAAAAAAACAACATTTTTTTATTTATATTTTCTGAGTTGAAATTGTAACATCATTACGATTATTTTATTATTTTATTTTTGATAACCATATTTAAGGAAAAAAATAAAATTTTCCTAGTGTGGAACTCAATCATAGATCCTCAATTCTACAATTATTTTTCAAGAACAATACTATACGTGTATGCATGTAATTCATAGATTAAAGTTTTGAAATAATGTTAAGTCCGAATAAAAAAATGCTCCCAGTGAAAACTTCATTTAAAATTCACCCGAAGTACTTTAGACAAATGAACTATAATGAGACACACTATTGTAGGCTTAGATTACTAATTTCTATCTTTATACGAAAATGAATTGTACCATTTCGCAATGTTCCCACGAGAATCTTTTACGGTATAAACTCTCTATACTCTGATTTTCATTTTTTGCAGCATATCAAACTTGTTTCTTAAACTTCACGGCACAGATCTTTCGTAATTTAGTAAACTAAGTCTGGAAATTCCGCGTAGTTTGTATATGATTCATACACTTGTTGCTAGGTGACGGTAATATCTTGATTTGCATAGTATTTGGACATCAGTTGTCAGATAACAAAATTAGCAAGCTCCCTTAGTGTTCGTATGCCGCTTATTGTGTGAAACTAGTAACATATCCACGCTATTATTTATAAAACAGTTGCTAAGTAACAACAATAGAGTAACTCATTGATCATAAGCCAGTTTCCAGATAATAATAATAATAATATAAAACATCTAATAACCATATTCTAGTTGAAACCTAACGAAATTGTCCCCCGATGTGCCAGGGGTAGGTTTGCGAAATTACAACGCTAAAATCCTAATCTCGATTCCCTGCAGTGGACAGAGCACACACAGTCAATTGTGTAGTTTGCGCTAAAAAACATCAATAATAACTCACCTTGTGTTAATAAGTGAGTTGCTTGATGACGCTAATAAAGAAATCTCCCCAATGACTGCTTTAACCTTAATGTTTTATATATACCAGAAAAGATTTTGCTTTTGCTATTTCTCCACCAGAGGGTAGAATTTTTACTGGCTTATGCCAGTATTTTCTGCTAAATCAAGATACTTGCAATTAGAGGGTTTTTTAGTCAGACTTTCTTTTCTGTCCAAGTATTTAAATTAATATTCCCAGCACAGTTTTGAAGCGTTATTACTGAGTTTTTTAAATCTGCCGGGTGTAGTCTTAGTTCTCTGACACCTTTAACAGCTGACACTTAGCTTTAAAGTAAATTATTTTCTGTTGGGTTTTTAAGTAATTTCCTATTTTTGTTTCAGTGTATTTTATGAAATATACAGCAGGTTGACGTGGACGAAGACGGAAATAAGAGCGATACTGACAAAAGCGTAAATGTGGAATTGTAGCGACATTACGAGGTTCTGTATAATAACAATAATTTTAATTAATCCTAAACACCTATATGATGGCTTATAACGTTAAAAAAAGGGTTTCGATACCTGTGGTGGGCATAGCACAGATCGCCCATTGGGTAGCTTTGTGCTTAACAATAAACAAACAAACAAAACTTAAACACCTTATTTGAAGCTGCACAAAATAACAAAAGAAACGAAATATTTTCACTTCATTTTTAGGCGAATCTAAAAAATGCAATAGTTTAAAAAGTTTTATTTAAAAGCACTTTAAATATATAAATAAAAACGTCAACTAAATAAGATAAACCACATAAATTTTATGGTCAACCTTTCTAACTACACTTCTCCATTAATAGTTGGATAGAGGTTTATGTAAAATAAAGATAGATAATAAAAGCAACTAAAAAATGCTTTGGATATGGACCTAAAACCGGTAATCCGAATTCATTATGAAATAAGATTGTAACTAGATTCAAACCACGAAGAATTTATTGAAGGGGGAAAATGTACTTCAGCAACAACTATGTACCTCTCTTGCCTCTATCAAACGCATCATTTCTTATTATAACCAGACTTACTTAATACTATGCTAGTCTAAAGTCTTGATATAGTTTATATTAAATGTAAAAAGAAAGAAATTATTTTTTTAGTTTCAGTAGAAAAAAACACATTAAAGAGGAAATTGATGGTATGTATTTTTGTTGGTGTTGTTTCCCCCCTAAAGTATTGTTTGCTTTGAAAATTTGAAACTGTTTGTGCACGTACATCTTAAGTGCGTTTCTTATAAAAAATGCTGGTGTATCAAAATGTAAGATTTGTTGTACTAACCTAATTGGGTGTACTCGTAGATTTACAAGTAAGTGGTTAGTTGTTTAGTTTTAATTTAGCACAAAGCTACACAATGGGCTATCTGTGCTCTACCCACCACGGGTATCGAAACCCGGATTCTAGCGTTGTAAGTCCGCGGACATACCGCTGTGCCACTGGGGGGCACAAGTAAGTGCATTTGAAGTTTTGTTTTCACTGATGCGTTTCACCTACCGTTTGTTTTCCAAGTAATCAGTACAGTTATTTACAGTTGGACACTTGACTGTGCTCATATTGTACATACAGGGAGTGGTGTTAGTGTGTTTATAATAGCATTCTAATTTTTCTTTCGTAAGATTCTTTGTCACATCCCGCATACTAGGATTTGGTCTTGCTGATTATTGATGACTTTCGAACAGAACAAACATACGACTTGTTGATATTTTTTATTTAGTAAAATAGTTCTGTAAGGCCAGTTTTACTGTTCAATAACTTGAAGTAGTATTGTAAATAGCTGATCCTATAATGTTTCGTGTTGTTTTAAGACACGTTACTACATGTTCTGATGGTGTGATTTACTTCAACAAACAACGCCACCTGGTAAGCTCTACATAAAGATGTGAATAGATAACCAAAAGCACTTGTAATAGTGTAGAAATGTACGTAATGGTGAACTGTACCTTGTACTTTTCATCCATTGCAAGTAATGTTTTCATCTCTATCGGTGTTTGACCACGCCATTGTGTCATTGTTCTATGTTTGATGTGCTTCTGCCAAATTTTGTTGATGTTGTGTATTTGGTTCACAATTTCATTAAAACTCTTTCATTTTGAAAACCAATTGTTGCTATGATGTAACTTTATACACATACATAAAAAAAATTCAAATCATATTATTAATCTTTTTTTTTATCGAATCAGTGTGAAATAAAATAATATTTTAATAAAACATTTTCTACTTTCATCACATTTTAAAGACAAATCCTAATTGTAACTAACAGCAAAGTTGGTAATTTTGAAAGTTAAAACCACAGTATCTACAAAGTCACTGTTGTAAGGAAAAACGTTTAGTTACAAAACGCCTACATGTGACAGATGTAATCCCCACGTCTTCTGATTACAGGGATTAATAATTGTTTTTAATTCTTTTTCCAGAATATTAAATAATAGTAGTTGATCTTATAAAATACTCCCACTGAATAAGAGTTCACGAATCAAATTTTCTTAGCTTTCAGACAAATTTAATAAAGCCAAATAAATAGTCTTCAAGTAATTAAAAACACGATTTATTGCCATAAATAATCAAATTAAGGTAACTGTAAAACATTATTTGGCTATCTGAAAGATACCTTAGGTGTGCTAACGTGTATGATAAATGATAAAGTATAACTAATAATAACATAAAATTAATTCCGTATTAATGGAGTTATAAAATACAGGTGTCGCTTTAAAAATGGAAAAAAAATCATATTCATTGAATCAAAACGTTTATCACGGGACAAGACCATATTATTTATCTGGCGAATCATTTTACCGGTAACAAAAACTCTGGCATTATCTGTTATATAACATCACATTCAAAAAACGATAAAACTCTAGCACTTCCAACAGGTGGAACTGTCTTCATCATGGGCAAAGGCAGATCTATTCCACAACAAAGAGTACTTTTTCAAATCCACCTTTGCTCATGGTTAAAAACAGATCCATCCGTCGAAAGCATTAAGATTTTATAGTGTTTTTTTTTTTTTTTTACACGTGAGTGTTACTGCCTAACCCTTTTGACCTTACCTGTTTTTAACGTCATGGTAGAGGACATTTATACCATAATATAGTTGTAATTGAGTGTAGAAAACAGTTTTAAATATTTTCAACAAATGATTTCAAAACTTCTAATCAGTCATATTTCTTTAATAGATTGTTTTAATTTGAGTTACGTAAAAATACATAATGATTTACGGAGATATGGAATTATCGAAAAGAATCATATTGAGTTAGATTATCCATGCTAACACAGATAACATGTAGTAATACTGGATTATATGAAATAAATCCGTTATTTCACTTAACATTCAATTCCAAAGGCAGCTCTGAAAAATTTCAAAACCTATATTACTCGTTACCTTTTGTATTTTTGTCAAATCGTAAAGAAAACCAAAACTAAATGAACTTCAAATAAATGACGAACGTCTCCATACGCTACAGAAAATTAGATAAACGAGTTATTTTGAATAAAAACGAAACCCAGTAGACTTAATTCCCGCCATATTCCTAATCAAAATACGAAATTCGACATTCAAACTAGTGGTTTGAATATCTTTTGATAAGATATTGGAGGTAGTATCTTATTTTAGAGCACGTTTGAGATGAATATTTGTTTAGATAAAGTAGTAAACTATAGATCTCAGAAAAACATACTTGTTATAACATTATGTTACTTTCATTATACATACGTCTTATCACTAAAGACGTCTTAACACTTTTATACTTAAAAGGAATTTTTAATGGTATGAAAACTGATACTATAAATGCTAAGTACCTAAATGTCCAAGTTCTATATAACATAAACTTAGTCTTTTATTTCACCTACACTTTAGATGCTACAGTCCTAAGGCCAACCATTATGCTAACAATTTATTCGTGGAACATCTTCCCAACACCTCTCTTCACTGACTCAGCTGTCGCTAACAACTACTAACTGTCTGTGGTTCAAAATGGTATTCTATAATTACAAGGCGTAACCATTACTGACTTTTATATTTGTATCTAATTTTATTTTTCTATTTCAGACAACAATATTTCATCCCTGTTTCGAAGTAGTGTACTCGTGAGAAGCTTAGTCTCAAAAAATCAAAGGCTCAAAAGATCAAGTCCAAGTTAAAAAAAATCTTTGTTTGTTTAGATATATTTACATATTGTAGTTTACATGAATGACTTGCATATTCTAATATAGTGACGTGTCGCTTCAGATTGCAGCCGTGACGCTGCGGACAACATGTTTAGTGCCTATATATTTGATTCACAACGAATTTCTGACCATTCCACAGTGCAGTGTTAAAAAATTTTCGAGAATGGATACTCTTATGGCAGAGTCAAAAGAAACAACATTTATAAAAAGGAAATGCTTATACTCTCCGTGGAAGCCAAACAATAAACAAACTTGCATATCAGAGCGTTTAGCCCAACAATAGACTCCAAAATCATACCCCATCACCTATAAAGTGAAGGCTATGGTTACGAAAGAGAACTCTCCGACCCAAAAATCCATTAGCATAAAGTTGGACATAACCCCTGATATCGTTACCCAGATAAACATTGATTTTGAGGTTGAGGTAGGAACACGAACCAAGAATTCACTAGCTTCTAGCCACAAATCGAATTCAACGGTTGTTTTCATGAGAAACATGGCGGGGGAAACTATAATCCCAGCAATCACGTTAGATCACACACATATCAAGTCGCTCTCTGTGCACTTCCAGTGGACTTTTGTGTCTTTGGTCTGCTTTAACATAGTCGTGGTAGCTTACGTCCACATGCAGTGGAAAATCTGTGAAAAGTCTATAAAAACTGCCGACCTCGGCGTTACAATGAAAATTGTGTTGTCGACCAATAGTTTGTAATCATAGTCAACAGAATATGCACGATGTAAAAAGTCTATAAAAACTTGCCGACCTTGGCGTTACAAATTGAAAATTGCGGTGTCGAACAATAGTTTGTAATCATGGGCAACAGAATATGCACGATGTAAAAAAGTCTATAAAAACTTGCCGACCTCGGCGTTACAATGAAAATTGCGGTGTCGAACAATAGTTTGTAATCATGGGCAACAGAATATGCACGATCGGCGATGGAAGAGCAGCCAACACTTGTAATATTATTCTTATACAGTGCAAATAATCTTATATTAAAATAATATCAATAAGTACAAATGTTTGCTCAAACAATAAATAATTAACGAAAAAAAGTTTATCTGCAATTATAATAAATGGTCGGGTGTGGTCTAATGGTTAGCATGCTCGGAATGTGAATCCGAGAATTCGTGGTTCGCATCCCTTGTCACAAAAAGCATTCCATATTTTTGGGCTGTGGGTGCACTATAAGAGCGACGATCATAGCCCCCCCCCCTCCAAAGAAAATACTATCGCGCTTCGCACTTTGGGGCCACGAGTGCGTAATAAGAGTGATGGTTAGATCCGAATATTCGGTCACACATTAGTAACCCAAAAGTTATCGATGGATGTTGTTGATTAGTTCCTTCCCTCTAGTCTTACAGTTGAAAATT